GAGAGAGAGAGAGATAACAAAGGGTCCCCTTCACGTCAATTCGAGGGCCCCTGCAGGTACCTCGAATGACTCCTACGTTACATGTGGAGTCATCGAGGACGACTGCTTCAATTAGGAGGATGGTCTCGTTATCTGTGGAAGAGGTAGGGCAGACCACCAATATATGCTTTGGATTCGAGTTCAAGGCTGTAGCTCGGCAGTTATGGGTCACGAATTCACCTAGAGCCTGTTCGTGTCTCACGTGATTCTCAGGGCCTCCCTCCACCAGTCACCAAATGTATACAATATTAGTAGAATGGATCTTCTGCCAAAACATGGAACCATACACCGCCATATGCTATGTCTTTTGTGCATGTGGTGAGTAGTGGAGCAGGCCCCACTGTACGTATTCGTAAGAAAACTAAAGCAAAAAAACGAGAGCTCCCTCCACCACTCACCAAATGCATACAATAATAATATTAGTAGAATGAATCTTCTGCTAAAACATGGGACTATACACCGCCATATGCCATGTCTTTTGTGCATGTGGTGAGTAGTGGAGCAGGCCCCACTGTACGTATTCGTAAGAAAACTAAAACAAAAAAACGAGAGAGCTACGGGCATCTTCATCCTAACCCATAACTGCTGATATGCAGACCTGAACGCCAACCTTCAGAATATATTCGTGGTCGGCCAGACATGAAAATGCAACCTGTGACTTCTGCAAAGTTTGTGGGGCAGGTCGTCACAAGGCGACTACCCCCTTCTTGCGAACTTACCCCACCACTGCGTGGGATTTGAGAAAGGGAGGGGGAAGGCCAGCTTCCATACCCCGCCTAAGAGAAAAGTCGGAATGAGCCCTATTTTATGCTTTGCCTTTTTGGAACTTCTGGGATAGGGCCTGCGGAAATTGAAATTTGGCAGCCCTTGCCCCAAAAAAAGTTCGGGCCGGGGGCGCGGCCAGTTTGCAAGCTCGCGCGGTGCGTTTAACATTTTTGCCGAGTTGGGGATCCTGAGGAATGACAAAACCCCTACTTTTACAGTGCGGTGCGCTTGAGTGCGCTGTGTGGTGCACTGCGCGAGGTTCGCAAATCGTGCGCAAATCGTGCGCAAATCCGCGCACCGAGGTACGCCGCAACTATGCTTCCTAGTGGTGCTCTTCCCTGTTGGGAATTACCAAGTGGTGAGCTGGAAAGCATGTTCCCCTGCGATGCCAGTCATCTT